CCCAACAGCAGTTCCAATTCATTTTGAACAGGACTCGCCGTCCGCGCCGCCGCGGCCTGTGACCATTTGAGACAGAAGGCCGCCTGCCCAACAGCGGCCGCTGCCGGTTTGGGACAACATTTGTTGTTGGGCATTGCACCCATTTTTTCCGTACCCATTTCGGGCGTCCAAAATCAAAGGCCGTCGAAAACCTCAGCCACCCGGTGCCAGAATTTGTACTTATCCACTGCCTTGGGAACTCGCGTGTCCCAGGCCCCCAAGATCAGGCGATCGCAAACATGGATCAAGAGGGCGTGGATTAGCGACGGGTCCTGTTTCCATGGGAAATCGCGGATTGCCGCCGCCAGGCGAGGCGGCACCAGCCGCATTTTGGGGAGGGCACCTCCCCCGATCCGTGGATTTGGCGACCGCGCGCCGAATTCATGGATCGCTAATCCAGGTTTGCGCGCCCCCGACATCCGATGCCAGAATCTGTACTTCTCCACTGCCTTGGGAACTCATGTGTCCCAGGCTCCCAGGAGGCCGTGGACGTGGATGTGGCTCCTTGCCTCCCGCCCCCTGGGGGCCCGAGCGTATCCACGTCCGCTGCTTCCTAGGGTCTCGTGGCGTCGGCTTCCCGATTTTGTCTCAGCTAAAGAATGCTGCAGACCACAAAAAGACGAAAACGCTTGGGTCTGGATGTCCGCCGTTCGCTGAAAGTCTGCTCGCTGAAAGACTGCTCGCACGCAGCACGGATTTTGAGCGAAAGAATTAAAACATGTTCCACAAAAAAATATATCAATGGTAAAACATGCCCCCCAAATCGGCCCCAGACTGCTTAAAAAACTATTTTTGAAGATTTCCCCTGTAGAGGGACAGGCCCGACGCAAGGCTAAAGATACAATCACTGCCGCAACCGGGAAGCTCTCCCTCGACACGGCCTGCATCCCCGCGCCGGCCTACCTGGTCTGAGCGGGCTCTTCCCTCTTCCCCCCCTCGCGCTCCGGTCCCTTCCGCCGTCGTGCCTCGATTCGCTCCCGGTGCACCCCACCGCTTCCTGACCAGCGTCCGACTGTCTCGGGCCATCTGGCGCCCGCGGACTCAAAAAGAGTACCCTGGATTTCGGAGATCCCGATCCACTTTGGAAGGCTTCCGGTTTCAAGGATCGAGTGGCTTTCCTTCCTTTTGCCGATCGAGGGGGGTGGTACCGAAAGCCAGCGCGCCTTCGACGCCGATCCGCTTCATGTTTGCACCCGCTCCGTCCGAACGACGGAGACGTACTCAGATTCCAGCCCCAGCCTCCTCGAGATCTCTACAGATTCTTGTGTCTCCAGGGGCTCATGCATCCGACATCGCGATTGTTTCCCCACAAAGATGGCCCTATGCGGAGCCCGACCCCTTGCTTCGGGACTGGCTTTTCGTCCCAAGTTTTTGTTTGAGGTTCCCAGAGCCCCGAGAAGGACACCCTAGAGGCCGAAAGTGATCAAACATTTTGATCCACGAAGGGGAAGCGAAGTTCGACTTCCATCGCACCCCTCCGTGCCTGCTTCTATGCGCATGCGTGTGTTGTGGGGTCTGTCTGCCACCGTTTCCGGGTCGAAGGTGGGGCCAGTAGTCCCGCTCTTCCACACGAAGTTCCCTAATCAATGCTTGCACTGAAGGGGTCCTAGCGGATGTTAAAAGATTTGGCCAAAGTGCCGGGCCGATTTCGGTAATTAGGCAGCGGGGTTCCCGGGTTCCCGGTTCCAGGTTCCCCGGTTCCCGGTTGTGGGATCCAGGCCGATTTCGGTGGGCGGCAGGATTCTCGGGTTTCCAGGTTCCCGGGTTCTTGGTCGATCTCCTTATCGATCGGTTTTATCATCGATCTCATTGCCCACCAGTCTATCGATCCCACTGTCGATCTCACAATCGATTTTTCGATCGATCTCGCAATCAATCGCACTATAGATCTCACGAGCGATCTCACCATCGATCTCACCATCGATCTCACTGAATCGATTCACTATCGGTCCCACGATTGAGCTGCTTTTCGTCCTCACTATCGATCCCACTATCGATCTAACAACCGGTCTCAATTTATAATCAATAATGTTCAAACCATCCACCGATTTGGGTTTTCTTGTTGGCGTGATGGTATAGACCTCCCTTCGTTGCTTGGTGTTTTGGCGCGGGGAGGTCTTGGGAATTTCCAGCAAGCCCCTGAGAGGAGACCTTGCGACAGGTCTCCTGCCGCTTCGTCCCCTTGCACGAGCCCCTCGACGTGGCGGCGGCGGCGGTGAGCGCAATGCCGGCAGTGAAGACACTGAAAGCGGCGACGTACTCCGAGAACAAGGTCTTGTCTGTTGAAAGTTGAGGAGAAGCCACCCGGACCCGACACGGCCCTGGGCGTTTGCTACACAGCCCTGCCCTGTTTGATTCCGTCTTTGGGCGCGTCTGCGAAACGACCTCGCGTGTCGGTGGTGGAGCGACGGCGGGCGGATGTCTTGCTCACGCGAGGGGACGGTGCCGATGCCACCCGCTGCCGTGGCCTCGTTTTTTCGCCCGCTTGGGGCCTCCTGAGGGGGGCCCTCGCCGCCACGGCGGGGCTCGCCTCGAAGTGATCCTCGGACCGCATCCCCGGGAGAGGTGGAGAGCTCCTCCTCCTCTTCCTCCTCCTCCTCCTCCCCTCCTCCTCCTCCTCCCTCCTCCTCCTCCTCCTCCTCCTCCCCCCTCCTCCTCCTCCTCCTCCTCCTCCTCCTCCTCCTCCTCCTCCTCCTCCTCCTCCTCCTCCTCCTCCTCCCCCTCCTCCCGCGATACGCGCAACTGCGTATGGTTGGGTCTTCGACCAGGCTAGTGTTTTCATGCGCGAGCCCTACCTATAGGGTGTCTCGACCCAGTCCCAAGAAGTCAGCGAACGGAACCGTCGCGATGTGGTTCACGACGCGAGAGGGGTCTGCGGCCAGGTCCCCGAGAGCTACCTCTACTTCGTGCTCATAGCCATGGTGGACGGGCTCCGCCAGGACGAGGCATACCAGTTTGAAACATATCCCTATCCCTATGTTTGGCGTCGCCTTACCTCAGTGCCGATCTCAAGGATTCCCTTGGTTTCTGAGGGAACATCCCTGAGACTGTCATCGCTTTTGGCTTGCCGATCTCAGGGATAGAGATATTATTGGTTTATGCGGCGTTGGCGCGACGGCGACGCCGGCGAAGGCGTTCAATGTTGAACTCTGCGACGCGGAAGCACCGATGGACACGGTGACGCCATTGGACCCGAATGACTTCCCACCTGGAACGATCGGGGCCGCGACCGATTCAAGGTTGAACGATCGACGCGGTGTCGAAAACCTTTGCGCGCGCCGACGCCGCGCGAACCTGCCGTAACTTCGAGTCTGGTTGGAGGCCGCGGCAGCGTCCGCCGCGGAGGACGCCTGCGGCACCGCGGAGCAGTCCACGACCGCGGGCGGAGGCCGGCGGCACTCGCTGCCAGAGGAGGAGGAGGAGGAGGAGGAGGAGGAGGAGGAGGAGGAGGAGGAGGAGGAGGAGGAGGAGGAAGAGGAGGAGGAGGAGGAGGAGGAGGAGGAGGAGGAGGAGGGGGTGGGGAGGCTCGGCTGCCCGCGGGAGAGGCCCTGCGCAGGGGCCCCGAGCTCCGAGCGCTCCGGCCCAGACCTCCCGCGCCTCGAGACGACGGTGCTGCATATCGCCTCCGGCCTCCGGGGGCCCTCGCCCGGGTCGGGCCGGGCGAAAGGGGGGGATTGGGAAAGGGGGGGTTACGAAATTTGCTGCATGCAGCTGGTTTCGGCCTCACCGAGGGGCCCATTCCTCGATACATGGCCGCCTCCGGCGCCGGGAGGCGCCGGGGAACTCAGCTACGTGAGCTGATTCTCAAACCCCCCCTTTGCTATCCCCCCCTTTCGCCCGACCCGAGACTCGCGATGGGAGAACGGCCTCTTCGTCGTCTTCGGCCTCCGGAGGCCCTCGCCCGGGCGGCCCCAGGGACCCGCCATGAAAAAGCACAGCCCCAGGGAGAGTCACCGAGCACGTTCCACTACTCGCGAGTTGCCTACTCGCAGGCGCCCGAGAGGCACATGCCTGCTTCGGCGAGATCTCTCGCAGATCCCCCCGCGGCGGATCCGAGCCATGTGCGAGCAGCTGCTCTGCGAGTAGTGGAACGCGCTCGTCCAGACAGGGTCGGGGCTTCCGGGGACCCCGTCTTGGAGAGAATCCGGGCATCGCATAATGTCTGGGTGTCACGCCGGGCGGGCGTTTCGGGCCCCGGGGCCACCACAGACCGGTCTGGCCCGAACAAAATGCACCAGGAAGTACGGCCTGGGGCTCCGGTCATGATTCATCGCGATGCTGAATTTTTGGTTCGCGACGTCGGATCTCAGGAGGGGTGAACCTTTTGGTGCGGGCCCACGGGGGCCCCCTCAGCGCCGCCCTGCGCGCTTTGATCTGCCCCTCCCCTCCCCCACGCGGCCCCCGAAAACCGCGCACCGATGCTCACGCTCACCTGAGGCCACCTCTTCGTGTGCAACCTGTTTGAGAGCGTTTGAGAACGTGGTGTCGTCCTCAGACGACTTCTGTGCAACTTAGCGCGTTGGCGTCTCCCGAGGCGTCGTCGATCTTCGACTCGGGCATCATACGGTGCACAGTTCTCCGGCCCTCAGAGCCGAAACATTGTGCACCGTACTGCGTTTGAGCGGGGCCTGAAGAGGCGAGGGATTTACAGATGGTCATTACTGAGCATGGGTGCCGTTCCTGTGGAGAGCATACTGCCGATCTATCGGCGATGCATCGCCGATTCCAGGTCAGTGCTTCCCCCCTCCTGAAACAGTCCGCGTCTGTCGTTTCTCGTTGTGACCTGTCCTCCTGCCTCGCGCCCCGTCCTCGAGGATCGAGGACCGATCGGTTCGAAGCACGAAGGCCGAGCTCTCTTAATCACGTCTCTGCTTTTCCCAGGCATCTGGGTGCCTCGCGGGGCCCTCTGGGGGCATGGGGGCGGAGCCCCAGGCCACCGCGACTCGGGCCGCGACTCGTGGGCGGACAAGAAGACCGGAGACAGCGAGCCCAGCGGCGAGAACGAGAAGTCCAAGGCCTTGGCCCCGATCCTTGCCATCTCTCGGGGGGGGGGGGGGGGGGCGGCAAGCTCGTGCAGCAGGCGCGTCAAGCAAGAGACCCGCCCGCGGCCTGCTGCCAGGTACACCACGGAGGTCGCGCACCCCCCGATGGCCGCAGGGGCCCGCAGAAGCTCCGCGGGCACCTCGGGAGCCTCAGAAAAGTCGCCGACCCACGTGCCCCTAGATTACGTATCGCGAGATCTCGTATCGTGTGTGTCCACTGTGCCTCCAGGGGCTCGAGCCTGTGGAGTCGGCGTGCGCGTGTCTCCTCCATTCTCGCCCCCTGCTCTGGTGAATTCAAGCTTCGCGTGGCCAGCTCAGCTTCGACCGGAAGAGGTGCGCTCTCGACCCGCGAATCACAAAGTGCCTCCTCCATTCTCGGGCTCCGAAGGCCGGCCTTGGACCCTGGGGCTGTCAGCAGACGAAAGGAGCCAGGAGGAGAGAGCCGCCCCAGTGGACAGGTCGGAGGCGGATCGATTCCCCGCCCTGCCAGTTCGATTAGCGAGTTGCCCCCGTTCTTGGCATCACCTGGACGTGTGCATGTTTTCTCGGCGAGAAACCACAAGGACCATCCTGGACCATCGAGGAAAAACAACACGCACGAAACCGAAACATGCACGGGAAATGGACGTCCGAGCGACGGCAAGGAGAGGGCGTGGCGGCCGACACGTGTTGCGGGCCTGCGCCTGCCGGGTCTGTGATCCTGGGTCGTGCGCACTCCAAGGGTCGAGCAGTCCGTGGCCACGAGGCCCGACAGTGACTGGTCTCCAGAGGTCTGGGGTCGTGCATGCAGCCAAGGCGCTGAAATACGGGGGGGGGGCGTTCGTTAAGGAATGTGTCCGGGAGGCTTTAGGCCCTGGACGATTCCCTATCCAAGATCCAATGGGGGCGGCGGTGCTAACCATGGCCACTCTGTGATTGGAGTTCCGCGGGCTTCCAGATCCCTGGATTCCTTTTCCAGCGGTTCCTTATCCAGTGCCTTCACCGTAAGGAGCAGTTCGGGTTCGGAAGGGGCTCGCTGTTCCTCAGGTCCGTCAGTGGTTGCTCCTCGGGCGCTCCTCGTGCACCCGGGCGCTTTGTCATGGCGCCCAGCCCCTGTCAGTTGACACCGTACGTGGCCGAAAAGGATCGGTGGCCAGAGACGTGCCCGAAATGGTTACGGTGGGGGCGCTCGTTAAGGAGTGTGCCCAGGAGACTTTAGACCCTGGAGGGTTCTTTATCCGATGAGGGCGGCGATGCTATCCATGGCCGAGCCACGATTCGAGTTCCACCAGCGTCCAGACCCTGGGTTCCTTATGTCAGGACTCCTTGTCAGATGCTCCGACCGTGCCGAAAAGGTACAGTCGGGGCCCTGAAGAAGGAACCTTTTTCGTTGGGGAGGGGCTCCGCGTTCCTTAAGTGTTTCACAGCTTGCCTCAGGCTTTCCTTATGTTTTCGACAGGAAATCGAAGTTCAACTTCTGGAGAAAAGGGGCCTCGTTCCTTATTTAGGGTTCCTTAGGTCAACGCCCCGACTGTACGACTGAAACTGAGCAGGACGCCCTGGCGCTTTCGGGAACAGAAAGGCCTCGGGCGCCGGTGTCAGCCACGCTCGGGTAGCTCGTCGGGCACGGTGTCGGCCACTGCACCCCCCTCTGATGGAGACGAGGCGGCGTGGGCTTGTGGGAGCCGGAAGGGAGCGACGCAGCAGGGGGCCACATGCGAACCCTCCCCCTCCCCCCCACGATTTCGGAGGGGGAGGGTGGGGTTCGCTTCGTTCGGGAGCTCTCGAGCGAAGTGAACCCCACCCTCCCCCTCAGAAATAGTGGGGGGTAGGGGTAGGGTTCGCATGTGGACCCCTACGCAGAAAAGCGGGATCGTCTGCGCCGACATTTGCGCAAGGCCGCGCGTGAGCGCTTTCGTCTCCAAAGTTAGCGTGCCGCGCGGGCGGCCCGCGCAAGCTGCGCCGCAAGCTCGCTGCGCCATCTCGCGCAAGATGGCTTCTCGATCGGCGCTCCATGGAGCTCGTTCCTCATGCAGCGCCCCTTGTGGTAGCAGCTTGGCCGCAAGAAGCAGGAGCTCCGATGTCCGCGCGGGTCCTCTTCGGTGGGCGTCGGGCCCTTCTGTCCCCACGGGGCGGATGGGGGGGAGCTGGGTGGCAGCGCCAGCCCATGAGATCCGCGCAGGCTTCTGCATGTTTCTGGTTATGCGTGCTTGCTCCATCACGATCTCGTCGCCGCCGCCGTCGTTGCCATCAGGCGCAGGCGGGAAGAGGATAAAGGGCAAGAGAAGAATGGGGAGGCTGATGATGATGAGGAGGAGGAGGAGGAGGAACGTGAGCAGGATAGGGCAGCTGGAGCAGGAGGGGAAGGGGGTGCACGAAGAGGATGATGAACCATGAGGAAGGGGGAGACGTCGTGGTGCCTCGGAGGTGTTAGCGTGGCTCGACGGTCTCTAGGGAGCTCTCAGTAGGTCTGGGGAGTTCACGGGAAGGAACTCAGGAGGATGAGGAAGAGGAGGGTCGGAGGAGGAGATGGAGAAGGAGGGGATGGAGGAGAACGCGGAGGATAAGGAGAGGCGCAGCAACAGCAGGCTGTGAAGGGCGATGGTAGACAGGAGAAGTTGGGCGTGGAGGAAGAGGACTGCGTATTGGAATAGGAGGAGGACCAGGTTGATGAGGATGGCACGGGCTTGCATGTGGAGTCTGTAGGAGGAGGAGGATGAGGAGGAGGAGGAGGAGGAGGAGTACGAGAAACTGGACAAACTTGAGGACGAGGCTGGATGAGGGGGAAGAAGGAGGATCATGAGGATGACATCGGAGGAGGAAGGAGGAACCACGAAGGATGAGAGGAGGAGGAGGACCAGTGCAAACCCAAGACTCATCAACGATACTGCAATCTCCCCGCCCTCCCCCCAAGTTCCCTCTTCACAGGTCCCTAGAAGGGTTCATTTTCACTGAGGGAAATGCCCCGCTGGATGTCAACTATTTCTTCGAACATCCTGATCTGTGGCAGGACACCATTTTTGGGACTTCAGCGCCGCGAATCACCGTGACTGTTGCCTCTTAACGACCCTGAATCCTACCGGAACACCGTTTCTGGAATTTCAGCACTACGATTCAATGTACATGTTGCGCCCTGGCAGTCCGACGCCGCGCCTTAACATCATGTCTGCAACGTTAACCATGAACTTCCCTGAAACTGTTGCAAGCTCTTAAAACGAGTGTGCGAGGCGCTGAGGCGAGCGCCACATTTTGAAAAGGAGCCGGCCTCCATCCGTGAAGGTCTTGCAACTTGTTGAGACGAATGCGCGCGGCGCCAATGCGAGAGCAACATTTTGTAAACGAACCGCCCTCCATTCGTGCACCTCTTGCGAACTCTTGCGACGAATGTGCGCGGCGCTAACGGGAGAACCACATTTTGAAAACGGCCCGCCCTCCACCCGCTAAATTCTTGCAATCTGTTCAATCGAAATTGCGCGGCGCTGAGGCGAGAGCCACATTTTGAAAACGGGCCGCCCTCCATCGCGAATCTCGTTTATTTTTGTCTACGAAGGTGCGCGGCCGCATTTTGAAAAAGAGCCGCCCTCCATCCGTGAAGCTCTTGAGATTACTCAAGACGAATGTGCTCTGCGCTGCGAAGGGAGCCACACTTTGACAACGGCCCGCCCTCCATCCGTGAAGCTATCAGCTTGAGGGCCATCGATAGCAAGGGCCTTTCAACCGAAACGCCCAGCCCGCCCTACCGACACGCCTCGGGGTGCGACACGGAGGAGTTATTTTCAAGGAAGACGAGGAGGAGGAGGAGGACGAGGAGGAGGAGGAGGAGGAGGAGGAAGAGGAGGAGAGCGTTGGAGAAGAGCAGCCCAAGGCCGCGGGGACCGCGGCCGGCAAGCAGATCGACGGCCAGGCAAGCGGCTGGAGAAGCCGCGTGGCCTGTGGTGTACCCCACCCGCCCTCCTCCAGCCTCCTCCGCCGAGGAGGATGATCACCAGCCTCGAACGCATCCCTATCCTTAAGACTGACACGCCAAAAGGCGATGACAATCTTGGGGATGCGCCCTGAAGAACTAAGGGAATCCCTACAGCGGCCCAATGAGTGTTCCTGGAATTTTCATCACGACGCTGGCCGGCGGAAGTCGACGGAAGTAAAACGAGGCGGAAGACGGGGGAAGGCCGCCGGAAGGCTTGCCAATGTCAGCGGAAGTAAACGACGCCCCTTCCGAACCCCCTACCCCCGTAGCAGCCTAGCAATGTTGTCTTCCTCCGTGGGCCGGGCGGGATCCCGCCTGGCTTATTCCGTTTGAATATTATAAGTTTAGTTCAGGACGATCAAAATCCCACCCATTAAAAATGGGGTAGACCAAAATCCCAGGCCGTTCACGGATCCCACCATGCTGGGATCGGCTCGAAGTAAGATGGGGCTCATAAGTTGCAGTATTATTGCCGTGTTGGGGTCGTCTTGAGGTCATCTTGAGATCATATCCCGGTCATGTTTGGATCACGCAACCATCGCGTGGTCATTATGAGGCCACCCTGGGTGCGCTTGGATCCATCTTGTTGCCATCGGGCCATCTCGGCGTCACGCGTTGCTCATGTGTTTCGTCATCTGCGAGTCGGCCTGAGACGGTCCAGAATCCATGGCGGGATCGCGTTGGGGTGGCATCATCCTGGGTCCTCTGGACGTTATCGTCCGTGGCCTGAGGCATTCCTGGAAGCATGTTGTGGCCACGGGACGTCTTGGGATCGCGTGCGTGCGAACGCTGAGCACGCGCGCGCGACTTTTCATCTTGCCGACGGGTTTACATACATATTATTCCTCTTGCGAGTTTCCAAGGAAACTTTTGTTGGAACCAAGTAAGATTGGAATTGTGTTGAGGCGATGCCCAGCTTAACCCTGGCTTTGAGTCGGACGTGTCCTTCTACAGGGGGAATCTTCAAACATATCCAAAATAAAAGAAACTAGTTCGACCATTTCGGATTTTGTTCTGAGTCTCATCTCTTTGCTCGTCCAAACTCCGCCTGCAGGGGGACATGCCCGACCTAACCCTGGCTTTCTTCTGGAGGAGGATCGGGACCGGGCCTGCCCGGGTCGAGGCGCATGCGGCCCCTGTTCCGGGCCGCGTGGCCGGTGAGAAGCCGCGTGGTCCCTGTCTTGGCATCGCTCGGACGCGTGCATTTTCCTTCGGCGAGGACCATGGAGGAGCATCCTGGACGACTTAGCGAAAACATGCAGTCACGGAGTCGAAAAATGCACGAGGACTGGACGTCCGAGCGATGGCAAGTCGTGGTGTCCCCCGCCCACCCACGTTTCGGGTACAGCCAGGACCCCAGGTAAGGGAACCTGGTTAGCGGTAGGGCCCCGGGGCCCTTGGCTTGGCCAGGATCACGAAACCAGGTCTGCCGTAGCGTGTGTTTTTCGGGTGACGGCACTTCCGGTTGGTGGAAGGGGGCGGGGGGGCATCCCCCAGTACACATCACTAAACCAGGTTCCATTAATCCCAGTTCTGCCAACGCATTGAAGAGTTCATATCGCCGAAGAGGAGGAAGAGGAGGAGGAGGAGGAGGAGGAGGAGGAGGAGGAGGAGGAGGAGGAGGAGGATCGGGCAAGCGTAAGAATCGAGTAAGCTGGAGCTCGGGTTTGCCGAAGTTTTTTGACGAGCGCGTCCTGGATTTTGACAGTCCGGAGTTCGTGGGATGCTTGCAGCGGGAGCTCGCGTCAAATTTCAGATTGGGTTTCGTCATTTTCATGGTGGCCCCGTCAGGCCAACCCGAGTCCCCCGCACCCGAGTCTTACGTCTCCCCGGGAGGAGGATGAGGAGGAGGAGGAGGAGGAGGAGAAGAGGCGGAGGAGGCGGAGGCAGAGGCGGAGGCGGAGGCGGAGGCGGAGGCGGAGGAGGAGGTGGAGGCGGAGGCGGAGGAGGAGGAGGAGCCTCTTTCGCATCAGGCTGCTGAGCCTGGTCGTCATGGTTGTAGTTATGGAGAGAGTAGAACAATAATTCCCCTCCTCCTCCTCCTCCTCCTCCTCCTCCTCCTCCTCCTCCTCCTCCTCCTCTTCCCTCGCCTCCTTCCTCGTCCTTTCCCGAGTGTCCGCCGAAGGGGTTCCCCGACGGCTGGGAGACCCCCCCCCGCGCGCGCCCGACAGGTGCAGCTGAAGCCAACGAGGTCTCGCCGTGGATCGGGCGGCTGGGGGGGTAACCACGGGGGGGTCACCCCGCTCCTCTTGGAGATCGAGCGTCGAGCAGGATCGAGGATCGAGGATCGAGCAGGTGCCAGGGACGCTTCTGGGGCGCCCTCCGGAGTCCAGGGAGGGTCGAGCATCCAGGATCGAGGGTCGAGGAGGAGGAGGAGGAGAGGAGGAGGAGGAGGAGGAGAGGAGGAGGAGGGTCGAGGATCGAGGAGAATCGAGGCTCGGGCAGGTCCTGGGCGCTTCTGGGGCGCCGGGGTCCAGGAGGGCCCGCCTCCTCGAGGTGGCGACCCCCCTGGTGGTGACCCCCCTTGGGACTCCTCCTCCCCTCCCCTCCTCCTCCTCCTCCTCCTCCTCCTCCTCCGCCTCCTCCTCCACCTCCTCCTCTTCCTCCGCCTCCTCCTCCTCCGCCTCCGCCTCCGCCTCCGCCTCCTCCTCCTCCCCCTCCTCCTCCTCCTCCTCCTCCTCCTCCTCCTCCTCCTCCTCCTCCTCCTCCTCCTCCTCCTCCTCCTCTTCCTCCTCCTCCTCCTCCTCCTCCTCCTCCTCCTCCTCCTCCTCCTCCTCCTCCTCTTCATCCTCATCCTCCTCATCCTCCTCCGAGGGGCTCCATGGGGTCAGTTAGAGGAGGAAGCTCAGCTGCCTCGATACGCCCGTTTTGAAAAGCAATGCCAATACGTACCGTGCTCAAGAAGTCCGTGCCACCAGTTGCGTGTTGGCGCAGCGTGCTGGCCCACGTATTGCCGAACGTATCCCGTCAGACCTACGTTTTCAGTCTGCGTGTCGAGCTCTGTATCAATACGCTACGCGTTGCGTGTTGCGTATCGGGGCAGCTCAGATTCAGGGGCAACGGTAGGAGGAGGGGCTCAGGGGGGGAGGGGGGCTGGAGCTTCTGGGCGTGATCGAGCCCTGGGGTGGTGTCCAGCAGCTGCGCCTCGTCGAGAGCACTCCCCCGGGTGCCCGGATCAGCCCGAGCGGCCCCCGGAGGTCCGAGCTGTGGCCCGAAAAGCAGCGACAGGGGGGTCATAGGCTCAGGCGGGAGGCACTGGCCCCCGATCGGCCACTGACCGCCGATAGTAGGGGCCGGAAAAGAGGGGGGGGTGACTAGGGGGGGCGGATATCATGGCGTGGGCCATGATATTTCCCCAGATGTCATGGCGCTTCGTCTTATTTCATTACGTTCCTGGCCCCCCCGCTGGGCCGCGCACATGCCGCCGGTCATGATTTGCACCCCCCCGCCTCTTGGACACCCCCCTCTTGGCCGCTTCCGAGATAGGTGCCCGCAGTCTGCCCTGCCCAGGAGCATGCGGAGCATGCGGCTTCGATCTCGGGGGGCTCTCGCCGACCGGTCGGCGACGCCTCGCCGATTCCAAGTTTGTGCTTCCCCCCACGAAGCCGGTCCCCACATAATGATTTGTCCCCCTCAGAAGAGAGGGAGGGGGCCATGGAGCCAGAGGAGCAAGAAGTCGTGATGATACGTTCCAAGGTTTCCCATATTCCCACGACCTACTGTCGTTCTGCATGGTCGTCAGAAGCGAGGGTTTCTGGAGCTCCTCGAACGCATATCGAGCTAATCGCACCATGACATCATTCTTGTCTTATCGACGAAAAGGAATTCTGCAGGTTTTTCTCTGAAGAAAAGAAGACGGCAGAGGCATAAGCTGTCGGAGCTCCTCGCGGATTTCTGGTGTCTGTGCTGGACCTCCCTGGCGGCGCCTCTGGCGCCGATCCAAGAAATCCGCGCGGACCCACGGACGTTCACGTTTGTGCAGTTTTCTCTGGCTCTGCAGGTTCTTCCAAATTCCCAGGCTGCGACCTTACGAAGGCTGTACGGCCGGTGCCGCCGACCCGGCAGGGGGACGACGACGGCGGCGACGTCGACGACGACGCTGACGCTCGGGAGCCTTCCGCGGGGCCCTCTCGGAAGCCTCTTGGGCCCTGTGGGCGGCCCTGTTGGGGGACTTTGGCGATACGTTCCGAATGTTTTGTGTTTCTCTGGTGTAGTGGAGGATGACGATTAATACATGACCGGGGGTCGTGTTCACGCGGCGGCGCCCGGGAGGACGATCAGAACAAACCGGCCGCGGGCCGGAAAACTATTCTTTTGAATCGTTCTCCTCCAGTCAGAAGATTGTGCAGAAATAGCGGGAAGCAATTCTTCTAATCGTTCTCTCCCATTTTATGTATTAATCGTCATCCCGCATTACCGCGCGGGCTCCAGGGGCGAGGGCCGCCGATCATATTCCACGGGGCTCCTGGAACGTATCCTGAGCCAGTCGCATCATGACATTTATCCTCGCCCTCTGTAAAGCTGGATCTCCTCCGATGTGGTGTGTTCAACCTGCGCTCCCAGAGCTCCCGATCCCACTTCCAGGGGACAGCTGTCTGCTCCCCAGACCCGTGTATCACCGCCTCCAGGCCCGAGGACAGGACCCCTCGGGCCGGCGTCAAGGAAAATCGCCGCGAGTGGCAAGAACACATCGTTGGAGATCCGGGAAGCGAGGTCGCCGTTCGTGGACGTGAAGCTAGACAGGAAGGTTCGAAGAGGAACAAATGCAGAAACAGCAGCCGTCGACGATGCGCGCGAATTCCTCGGACCTGCGCTGGAGCCCCCTCGGTGGCGCGCGGAGCGCGCCAGGGGCGGCGTCGGAGGCGTCGCCAGGGGGGCTTCCACGCAGACTCAAGAAATCCGCGCGGGCCGTCGAAAGCTCATGCTTGCGCAGTGCTTGTTGCTTCTCCGAAGGTGGGGCAAGGCTCCTTCGGGAAGGTGTACTTCGGGCGCTGGCTGGGGTCGCCCGTGGCCGTGAAGGCCTCGCCGCTCGCTGCTCTCGTGCTGCGCGTTCTGCGGCTCCTCGCAGCACCTGCAGGGCCTTCGGCCACTGCCGCCGGCCCCCCCTGCCCGAGGCATCGAGGGATCCCGCGTCGCCATCCTCGTCGCCATCCTCCGGCGCAACGAAGAGCCACAACCACAAGTAAGCAGGTTCTGTGGAGGGCCCCTCGGGGCAGAAGCCATCGACCTCGACGTAAACACTTTGGTTGTGGTTGTGGTCGATTCGTCCGTCCTGGGACGCCCACATCGACCATAATCAGTACTGAGCTGTTTTCGGTGCTCTCACGATCGCCGGCCTGTGCAAGACATCCCCCAGGGTGTGTCCTCTTTGTGGTTGTGATCGCTTGGTATCCCCGAGCAATTTACGTCATAGATGGGCGAGGCGAGACACAACGGTAGTTCGCCTTCGTAAGGACCACTCGCCGCCAAGGCTGGACGCAGCGCGGGAAACCTGTGCGTTTGAACCCTGGGAGCTGCCCGGGGACCGATTTTGAGCTGCAGTTGCGTCAATATCAGACAGGCGACGTCTTGTTTTTTCTTTTCAGTCGTTGTCGGAGCGGAAGCCCTTCCATCGTCTCCAGTCGTAGCGGGATGTCCCGCGGCAAAAAGAGCCTTCAGATCGAGCCCTTTTGCGACAGGGGGTCAATCTTCGAGCCCTTCTGTGACAGAGGGGGGCCAACAAACTTTTTGGTCTGCGGGTCGAGAGCGAGCCTCTTCCGGTGGGGGCCAACAAACACATCGTCAGTCGATTCTGGTTTGTGGATTACAGAGCCCCTGGACGTCCCGACCTCTTCCCGAGGGCCAGCGTCTCATCCCGAGTCGTGGTTCGACGCTCCCCAGGCGGCCCAGCGAGGGCCCCCATAGGCCGAACGCGGCCAATTAAAGTCCTCCCGCCGCGCCTCTATCCCCGTGTGCTTCCATGCCTCCCGCGGCCGCTCCTCTTGCCCTTCCCCTCCAGGCAATTCATCCATCCCTTCCCTTCCCTCCCTTCCCTTCCCTCCCTTCCCTTTCCTTTCCTTCCTTTCCCTTCCCTCCTTCCCTTCCCATCCCTTCCCTCCTTCCCCTCCCTCCCTCCCTTCCCTTTCCTTCCCATCCCTTCCCTCCTTCCCTTCCCTTCCCTCCCTCCCTTCCCTTTCCTTCCTCTTTCCCTTCCCTTCCCTCCCTTTCCCGCTCTTCTTGCATCCAGGCAATTTTCCAATGACGTTTCCCGGCGTGCCGAGCGCGCGCGCGGACTGCCCCTGCCGCGACGCGACGCAGAACAGTTAAACCATCCCCGACGCGGGCATGTCGGAGTGCGGATGTGGGCTGCCGTTGCCTCGGCTCGCCCAACTCCGACCTCCAGCCAAGGCGCGGCAATCGGGAATTATGCGGGCTCGGAAGGCGGTCGCCGTTGCTCGGGCCCTTCCACGGTGGCTCTTCTAGCGCTCTCGCGTATACCAGGCCGATGTCGGTGCCATAAAGTGGCGTCGTTCCTGATGCAGCGCTCTCTGTGGCAGGAGCGTGACTTGATTCAGCAGGAAGCGTGGCCCTGCGAGCGCGGACCCAGCGTAGCCTGTGAGGGACCATGACCTTCTTTTCAGTGCGGGCCATGTGTACTTTACAGGGTATCGTGGCACTCGGCGCGCGGATCCAGCGCGGTTCATGTGCGAGGGATCGTGGCCTTGACTGTGCGGGCCCAGGGTGACTTGCACGGGGTCGTGGCTCTGGGAGCGCGGGCTTAGCCTTCAGAGCGCGGACCCCAGGTACTCTACCAGGGATCGTGGTTCTGGGAGCGCGGGTCCGGCGTAGCCTGCTTCCCCGGGAGCGTGGGCGTGGATCCACAGTCGTTTGTATGTTGTATGGGATCATGGCCTAAGGAGCGAGTGTCCAATATACTTCGCACAGGGTCGTGGCCTTGGGACGCGCTTCTCCATGCGCGCCCTCTCTTCTTCTGAAGGGGGGAACTCCCTGGAAGTTGGATTGTCGGCGCTACCAATATCCATTCGAATCCGGCCGAACTGTGCCGAATCCAGCTTCGTCCAGCTCACTCCGGAACCTGGTATTGTTGGCTTCTCTCTACCAGCCCCACGATGCACCCGGATTGCTTCCAGTGTTGTCCACGAAGACTCCCCTGAGGTTTCCCCCCAACTTGTGTGACCCCGCCTTATCCCCTCGTGCTCCCTCCCTCCCTCCCTCCCGTTTTCCTCCTCCTCATCATCATCTCTCTGTCCTCCTCTCCCTGTCTTCTTTCCTTCCTCCTTCCTCCTCCTTCCCTCCCCCTCCTCCTGCCCCCTTTCCTCCCCCTCTCCCTGCCTCCCTCCCTCCTCCGACGCCCGAGATCCCGAGAGGTGGTGGAGTGGAGCGGCGCGAGGAGCAAGATCGAGCCCCTCTTCGAGGCCGAGCTGTCGTGCACCCTCTCGCACCCGAACCTGGTCCAGACTTACAAATACAGCACGAGGGAGAAGCAGGACACGCTCGAGGAGGAGGAGGACGACGACGACGACGAGGAGGAGGAGGCGTAGGCGAGGCGAGGCGCCGCGTCGCCTCGCCATCGGGGGGCGGGTGGGAGAGGTGGAGGAGGAGATGCGGAGGAGAATGAGGAGGAGGGGATGTGGAGGAGGAGGGGGAGGGAGAGGGGAAGGGGCAGGAGGAGGAGGAGGAGGCGGAGGAGGAGGAGGTGATGCAGGACAAGTCCGAGAAGAGCCAGAAGTCGCGAAAGTTGAGCGACGGCGACGAGGTGCGCCACCAGACGTAATTCGTCCAGCACCTCCTGCTCATCATTCTCCTCATCCCCTTCCTCCTCCTCCTCCTCCTCCTCCTCCCTCGCCCTCCTCCTTCGTCCCTCCCCTCCTCGACGTCCTCCTGGAAAGTCGCGCCCTCCCCACAACCTCCATCTCGACCTCCTCGCCCTCCATCTGGACCTCCTCCTCCTCCTCGACATCCCCCTCGACCTTGACCAGGTGTGCTACCAGACGTGGATCGTCCAGGAGTGGTGCGACGAGGGCACGCTCGGGATGCTCTGCTCACGACCCCGCAACGACACGAAGGTCGGGGCCAGTGGGGTGGTCCACCACTCCGCCTCCCCTCCCTCCTTCATCCCTCAGCTCTGTGCGTTGCCAGTTTCCACACTGGGCTTTTTCTCCCGGATTCGGGCCCCAGGGCTATCACAGATCGATCTGGCTTGAAAAAACCAAGGAAACGTTGGGTTTAGGGTTTCGGCCGTGATTTTTCGTTTCGTTGTGCTTTATTTGATGTTTGTTCGCAACCTCGGATCTCAGAACTCCTCCCTCCCTGTTCTCCCCCACCCCCAACTCTCCCTCCTTCGTCTTTTCGCCCAGTCCTTCCGTTCCCCCGCTCACCCTGCAGTGCAGCGTCGGAAGGTGCGAGGGAAATCCACGTCGCCGTCCTCCCCCGAGCCCCCTCCCCTCTTGGGGAAGGAGCGGGTGGAGGCACGGGCGGGATGGTGGGCATTGACGTCAAGGGTGCACACTCAAGGCCTGGTCAACGCCCGGCACGAGGAGGCACGAAGGGACTGATGATGATGCTGATGACGATGACGATGACGATGATGATGAGGGTGATGATGATGATGATGATGATGATGATGATGATGATGATGATGATGATGATGATGATGATGATAGTGGTGGTGGTAATGATGATGCTGCTGATGATGATGCTGCTGATGATGATGCTGATGCTGGTGATGATGATGGTGGTGATGATGATGACGGTGATGATGATGACGATGATGATGATGATAGTGGTGGTGGTAATGATGATGCTGCTGATGATGATGCTGCTGATGATGATGCTGATGATGATGACGATGATGATGATGATGATGGTGAGGATGATGATGATGATGGTGATGATGATGATGTTGATGAGGATGATGATGATGATGAGGATGATGATGATGCTGATGCTGGTGATGATGATGGTGGTGATGATGATGACGGTGATGATGATGATGATGATGACGATGATGATGATAGTGGTGGTGGTAATGATGATGCTGCTGATGATGATGCTGCTGATGATGATGCTGATGATGATGACGATGATGATGATGATGATGATGATGGTGAGGATGATGATGATGATGATGCTGATGATGATGATGATGATGATGATGATGATGATGATGATGATGATGGTGAGGATGAGGAGCAGGACTTGCGAAGAGGATGAGGATGTGGAGCAGAGGGATCATGATGAGGATAAGTCGATGCACGAGGCGAAGTGGGTGGTGGCGTTGGACGAGGAGGGGGGGGGAGGAGGAATGGAGAGGAGGAGAGCATGGGAGGAGGCGACTGGCAAGTGCTGCCGCACAGCTCGGAGCCCACGCCAGGGCTACATCGAGGCCCTCCAGATCCTGACCGAGATCGCCAGCGGCGGTTCCCCAAACCGCAGCATCCTCGTCGTCCCCACCACTGTCCGCTTCCTGCCCCATCTCCTCCTCCTCCTCCTCCTCCTCCTCCTCCTCTCCATCCTCCTCCTCCTCCTCCTCCTCTCTCCTCCTCCCTCCTCCTCCTCTCCTCCTCCTCCTCCTCTCTCCTCCTCCTCCTCTACCTCCTCTCCCCTCCTCCTCCTCCCCTACCTCCCCTCCCTCCATCTCCTCTTCCTCCTCCTCCTCCTCATCATCCTCCTCCTCCTCTACCTCCCCTCCGTCCTCCTCCTCCTCCTCCTCCCTGGCCTTCCCTCTTTTTTTTTTTCTCTGCCTCCCCCCGCCCAGCCTGCGCGGGCCACGTCGCACGCGAGCCGCTTGGCGGATCCTCGGAGGACACGCGCGCAGCCCACCCCCCGCAGGGATCAGACAGATCGCGCAGCGGCGAGGCGCTGCCCCGGAGCACCAAGACCTGCGTGGAGAGGACGAGGGAGCGAACCGAGGAGGGGGGGGGAATAAAAAAACGAAAACCACCCTAAGCATCGATTTCTGGAGGTCCGCGCGGGCGCTGTGGGTCTGCGCTGGGCCCGTTTGGCGGCACTTCCAGCGCCGCCCCTGGCGCTGTCCAGGTGCCGCGCCGATCTCGGGGATCCGCGCGAGCCCCGTGCAGTTCATGGGCTCGTGTTCGTGACATGTAGTGCGTGTTCTTCAGAAGGCGAGGGGGGGGGGCTTCTCGGCCGATCTCCTCCCCAGGCGCCACCCCTGCTCGCCTTTGTCCGCTGGTGCCTCCTGGGCTGCAAAAGCAATGTGCTTTCGCGCGAGGGTGCAGCTCCTTACGACTGCGCGCGCTCGCCCTCGTGGAGCTTCCTCATCCTCCCCCCTTGCTCCCCCTCCTCAGTGTCTTCCACCATCTCATCCTCCTCATGCACGTCCCCCGTCCCCTTCGTCAATCCTTCTACCCAGTTGTCGTTTCCCAGTATGCCACCTCGTTGGCCGATGGCCGCCACATTTGGGATCCCCCTTTCATGCTGCAGAAAGAGAGTACAACATTGATATTTCTGATTTCAGCATGGACGTCGGGTAGGGACGGGACGCACATCGCGTTCGAAAAGGCCAAATGTCGCGTCGGCGGCGCGCTCATTTTGCCATCGAGTTGAGCGCCCGCTGGGGCGCGGCGCACTTTTTTCGCACGGCATTTGATCAACGCGCGAGCGGACGAAAATGTCGATATAGCCTCGGCGCCGCGCAGATATCACCAAACATTGGCGCTCCCGCTTCGGCGCGGAGCATTCGTCTTACTCGCCATTTGCTGGGGCCTTGCGCGAGCGGGCGACGTGTCGCCATCGCCCGTGCTCCGTGCGCATTTCGCTCGGGATGGCGTTCCCACGCGGTTGCGGCGCATAGTTCATTCGCCAATCGCACGGCAGGGACAGCGGCAGCGGGGCCACGCGAGAGCGGGCGAAATGCTGACCTCGCCCAATCGCCGCGCAGGTTATGAGAATAAACGTGGTACTGCTATGTCGGCGCGGCGCATGCTTCGTCTTCGCCGCGTTCATGGGAAGTTTTGTCGCTTTCATCCCTGCGCGGCCCGCGTAGCTTTCGCGTCGCCAAGTCGTCGGAGGCGGGTCTGGCAAGCTTGATCTTGATGTTCTGGGAGGGAAGGCGGAAACAGGCTGGGCCCTTTCACTCGATCGACGGGGCTAACTCGACCTCCTACATCTCCTCCCCTTGCTTCTCGAGCAACGCCAGCGCCCCCCCCATTTCCAACGAACAGACTGTAGCTTGGCCAGACCAGATGTTTAACAGTTCTGGTGCGCCAGCCGAGGTAGTGTAGCACCGGATTGGCCAGAGAGTTCGCTCGATCGATCGATCGATCGATCGAGCGGGAGGAGGAGAGGACGAGCAACAGCGGCGGCGGCGGCAGGCCTGGGAGGATTTGTGGCGACGGGACGGGGGGGGAGTGCCCTCCCTTCACTATTGCATTGTTTTCTTTCTCATGAAGGTCGGGGCCTGTTCCAGCAGCTAGAGTCTAGAGCTCGACGAGAGCTTCAAGACGGCGGCACTACTGCCTCGATCGGCCCTCTTGTGGACTTCGACCGGTCGATCGATCGACCGATCGATCCCCCCTCCTCCTGGCCCCCCGCCCTCCCTGCCCTATATCTCCCCCTTCTGCCCCTGCTTCCCCTCTCCTGCCCCTTCCCCTTTCCAACCCCGCCTTTCTTGTACTTTCGCCCCCCCCCCCCCCTTCCCCCCTTCCACTTCTCCTCCTCTTCCTCCTCTCCTCCTCCTCCTCCTCCTGCTTCTCCTCCTCCTCCTCCTCCTCCTCTTCCTCCTCGTCCTCCTCATCCTCCTCTCCTCCTCAATTCCTTTCCACTGAAAATAACTTCTCCCTGTCGCACCCCGAGGCCAGTCGAAAGGGCGGGCTGGGTGTTTCGCCGGAGTCCTCTGCACCTTTTAGGACCCTGAAGCCTAAACGTTGGCAGCAGCTTCGCAGGTGGAGGACGAGTCGTTTTCAAAATGTGGCTCTCGCCTCCGCAGCGCGCACATTCGCTTTAAGTGCTTGCAGAAGCTTCACGTGTTGAGGGTGGTTCCTTTTCAAAATGTGACCCTCGCCTCAGCGCCACGCACAGTCGTTGCAAAACATTCCGAGATGTCACGGATTGAGGGCGGGTGCTTTTCAAAATGCAGTTCTCGCCCTAGTGCCGCGCATATTCGTTTCAAACATGTGCAAGAGCTTCACGGGTTGAGGGCGGGTCGTTTTCAAAATGTGGCTCTCGCCTAGGCGCCGCGCGCATTCTTTTTAAGTAGTTGCAGAAGTTTCACGGATTGAGGGCGGCTCCTTTTCAAAATGTGGCCCTCGCCTTAGCGCCGCGCGCATTCCTATTCAAACATTACAAGAGTTTCACGGATTCCGATGGCCAACGTACCAGACATGGTCTTTTGGAGAGATTCAGGATTATGAGGGTGCAACAGTTACTTGTATTCGCGGTGTTGACGTCCCATGAATGGCGTCCTGGCACGGTTCAAGATCGTCAAGACGCAACAGGCAGGTTGATCCGTGGCGTTGGAGTCCCGAGA